TAAATTAAATAAAAGTGTATAAAACATTTTGATATTTATTTTAAATTAAATAAATAAACGGGAAATTGAACAAACCGTTCGGGTTCCCAACATAATCACAACTACGAGATATTTCTCTTAGATAGGGTAATTCAAATATTGTAGGGTCATACGTTCAGGTCAAAATAACGTTTATTTTTTCTAATAAAATTGGCTTTCTTAATAGTTTTCATTTGTTGCCTTCAAAATATCAAAATACAAAATGTTTAAGTTATTTCAGAAGTAATGTTTTCTAATAGCAAAAAGGATAGATCTAATAGCATTTGCAAGGAAGAAAGTCACTCAGTGTAAGCAAAAAAGCAACAAACAAACCAGTGCTGAGCAAACAAATGCTACAACTTTTATTTGTAACATTTACCTGAAATATTTTTTTTTAATTGTATCAAAGTCTTGTTTTAACGTTTAACCTTCCCACTTAAAAATAATATAATAAACCTAAAGTTATATATTTGAAACAGCCGTTACATCTTCTCAAACGATACGCAAGTCAGTCGTTTTCGATACCTCCGTTATCATTCATCGAAAAAACAACATATAGGCATCGCTATGATAAAGTATCGAAACATAATTATTCAGCAAATAACCAATAGCCGAAAAAGATTAATAATACTGCACTGCTCAACAAAACGAACGTTGCACAGCCAAATTTGCACAAATAAATTCTGCTTACTGTTTTTGAATCTTTATCTAGTTCAATTATTTTTCTGCCAGTCCGTGGTTTTGCAAAAATTAAGTACTTAAAATAGAAATTCAAACATTGCAAACTTACTAAATCTTCGGCAGGCTTAAACTAAATCTTCAACTGAGTTGAACAAAAAAAAGTTTTTTTGTATTTCAACACCCAAGACAATATCGAAAAGGTTTTTCCAATCATTTTTATTGGTATTGCAGTGATAACATTTTTAAATAAAAAGGTAAGCAAAAAATTGAGGTCTATCTTTATGCTTTGGTGTTGAAATCGATTAAAACGTTTTTACTTTTGGTGAACAGGAAGCATACTAAACTTTCAGAAATTTTGAATTGTTTGATTTTGAACCCTGTGGAAAATTGATCTAAAATACGCATTTTTTTGCAAAAGGATAAACTGACTCCAAAATCATCCGACTAGAAAATCGTTGAAACCAAAATAGCTCGAATCAATCAGAATTTATCCAGTTTCAAATGTAGGTCAAATTTAGTCACCTTTAACGTTCATTTTTGTTGAGATGAGTTTTATTTAGAAAATCATGTTTTATGTTTGTTCTACTTTATCATCCCACAAATATTACTGAATAAAAAACATTATGTATCATACGAAGGGTTTAAAAACAAATTCAATCCTGTGAAAATAGATTAAATACTTACTGACATTATCTGATATAGTTGTATTGGGGGGCTCAATTTTCACTTTAATGTCAGCTGTGGCACTTTTAGGCCCTGCTGATTTGGGCAGATTTACACACTCTTTTGTCAAATGATCAGCCAAATCCACTAAATCTTCACAGGGTTCCTTACAAGAAGGACAATACAGATTATCAATATTATCTATCATGCCCAGGATGTGGTTGTTTAACTCCAGGTGGGACGAAAACTGTTCACTACAGCATAGTGGACAAGCAAGTGAGGCCATTATTAGTGTATGGCAACGGTTAACTTTGTTTTTTAGAAATATTGTTTATTGAAAAAACTAGAAAATAACCCGATAAAAGTTTGGTTACAAATTTAAATATATTCGTACAACTTCACGTTGGTTGAATATCAAGATGAACGATTCACGAGAAGTTGGATTAATATGGCGTGGGAACGGCATGAACCAGCTCAGCTTTATCATGGTTACCAACAGAATTTGGTTATTTGTAGAACGTCAACTGTCCTCGTTATTTTGAGAGATAGATTGTGTCTGGTTGGATAAATATTATATTATTTTTGCATTTAGTGCTTTCGGATAATTATTTGCCATTGCAGGAAATTTGCAATTTTACTGCTGTCCGCTGAGCAAATTATTAAAATTCCCTACAAATATTTTGCATATTTCTTTTTTTCTACGCATTTTCGATCAAATTTACCAAATAATAACTATAAACAGTTAGCAAGAACTTTTTATATAGAAAAATTATATTCACCAGTTCCTAAACGTTGCATGCAGTTCAAATTTAAAAACATTGAAATTTGACAATCTCGTGATAAAAAAGATTTTGCTTTATTGCTGTGTAAAAATTTGTCGATTAGTACTGTAATTCTATCAAGCAAAGTGCGTTTGTTGAATTCGAAAATTTCTGGAAACTGACGATAATGGCGAAGTTGAGGCTTATAAAAATGATTTAAAAATTACTTCGATTATTTAATATGAGATATGCTACAAAGTCTCTCTCAATTTTAAAAACAAAACCATTAGTCATATTAAATAATATATTAAATCAGTCTTTTTTAAACTTTCCAAAATATACATGTTTTTACAGATTAAGACTAATTAAGACGCTTTTGCAATAGCTAT